ACAACCCCGATTCCTTTTTCTGAATGGACATGGTGAAATAACGTTGAACAGTAATAGATCCTTATGGCTTCATGTTCTGTCATTCTCTCGTGGCTGGAAAATTTGATCTTGTCACTGAGGTGATATTTAGTGGCAGCACATCTGATTTGCCTTCCTCACTAGTGGAGCAGCTAAATCCTTTGCCTAAAGCACTCACAGGAAAAATATTCTAATTTCTTCAGGGTCTGGCAAATTGTAATGTTGAGAAAGTGCTATTCAAAGTGGTGGGCCACAGAAGTTATTGGCCCCCAATCCATAGTGAGCTTCCAGGGAAGAAAGAAGAGTTAGAGTCAATGTGTTCATGCAGTTCCTTATCAGTCCTGAGGAAGATGCACTGGTGCCCCATATTAGATATCTTACAACTTCATCACACTGTGGTTTAAATGGCTCCTTTTGTCTCTTTTGTCTCTGCTGAGAAGCATCAGATGATGCTGGCTTGGTTCCGCCCCCATTCCTCCCAAAGCAGAGAGGAAGCATCATAAGACACTTCCTCTGCCACCACAGAGAGGAAAGTGTATTTTCACAGAGAGGAAAGGGCAACATTTTGTTGCCCTTTCCTCTATCTGATGGGGGAAAGGCCAAAGTGTGTTGCTGCCTTTTCACCCATAAAATGGGGACTGGGCAGCCCCATCATGAGATGGAGAAAGAAGGGAGGATGTGCGGTGTGCCACGAGACAATTGCCAGTGAAATAGTACAACCCCATGGGCCGTGTAAAAAAAGTCCTTTAAAAGCATTGGTTTGGGATATGCAAACAGACAGAAAGTAATGTTGCAATGCAATTGGAATAAATTGACACATATATGACATAAAATATCAAGCTTAGTCTGCTAAACCTAGAGGGAGAAAACCACACAGAGAGTTGAGCCCACAAAACAATTTCTGTACTGATTTATGTCTAAGAGTTCTTCCACACAGTCCCATATCCCAGAATATCAAGGCAGAAAATCCCACAATATCTGCTTTGACCTGGGTTATCTGAGTCCACACTCATATAATGTGGGATGTCCTGCCTTGATAATCTGGGACATGTGGTTGTGTGGAAGGGCCTTCAGAATACATAGATTCAATTAAGAGAGAATTTCTGAGTTTCTCCTGGAACGATGCTGAATGCCCCCTTCTCCACAGTTCAGACATCGGTACTTTCTGAAAAGCTGGTCCTGGCAATCAGGAGGACTATAGGAATAGTAAGACATATGGAGCACAGGCTGATACTGGAGAACAGAGTCAGCAGAATCCATTTCCGTTGCTCCAGCCTTTAAGCAAATGGAAGTACCAGGTCCCTCTCATTTCATTTATTTTAATGGCTATACGTTAGGAGTCAGCTATTCTAATAATGATAATTATTATGGGGATGTTCCAAAAACATTGATAATGGCAAAAAAATTGGCAAAGATCCTATTTAAAGGTGATGGAGTGCTTTAAAAAATGACAATACAATTGCATGTGAGCATGATACCTATCTGGGAAAAAGTTCAACAAGATGTTGTAATCAATAATGTCAGAAACACTGACATAATTTAGTTTATAAGAACATTAAAGCAAGTAACAAGGATGAAAAACCACTAGGATAAGATAATTTATTACTTCAAGATAAGCAATGCCTGTTTTGTGTAGAAAAAAGGAAGCTGTGAGGAACTATAATCTTAAGAACTAGCTGTCGCCTGCCACACATTGCTGTGGCCCAGTCTGTGTATATGTGTTTTGTGTGTGTATATATTTGTGCATATGTGTGTGTTTGCGTCTATATATGCGGTTTTCCGCATACGTTGTAATGTATTTTTTATTTTTTATTTTTTGGCTTTTTTTGAAGCCCCTTCCACTCTGTTTTTAAGTGTTTTTATGAGCAATGATGGTCACTCGTTGGCCTGAGAGGTGTTTTGTGTCCAAATTCGATGTCAATTTGTCCAATGGTTTTTGAGTTATGTTAATCCCACAAAAAACATTACATTTTGTTTATATAGATGAAAACAAAAATATTATTTAGAATAGCTGACTCCTAACGTATTATTTAGATCATGTCACCAGACAGTTCTCCATCTAAGACAGTAGAATAGGACTAGGAGGAGCATTTATTGTTCTTGGCTCACTGCTTAATGTGGCAGAAAGCATGAAATTCTGTTTTGCATGTGCTCCTAGGGGATGTTGGCAAGTGTAAGTTGACATCCTGTTAGTGAGATACACACGCATAATATCTGCTGTGAATGTGGGAAGAATTATTTGCTATAGCACAATGGACTAGTTTGTTGACAATGGTGGGAGTGGAGTTTCCTATAGGGAAACACTGTGCATTGTGCCACAAAATACAATCATAGAGTTAGAAGAGACCTCGTGGGCTATCCAGTCCAACTTTCTGCCAATAAGCAGGAAAATTGCATTCAAAGTACCCCCGGCAGATGGCCATCCAGCCTCTGCTTAAAAGCCTCCAAATAAGTAGCTTCACCACACTCCAGGGCAGAGAGTTCCACTGCTGAACAGTTCTCACCAGTCAGGAAGTTCTTCCTAATGTTCAGGTGGAATCTCCTTTCCTGTAGCTTTAAGCCATTGTTCAGCGTCCTAGCCTCCAGCGCAGCAGAAAACAAACTTGCTCCCTTCTCCGTATGACTTCCCCTCACATATTTATACATGGTCTTCATCATGTCTCCACTAAGCCTTCTCTTCTGCAGGCTAAACATGCCCAGCTCTTTAAGCCGCTCCTCATAAGGCTTGTTCTCCAGACCCTTGATCATTTTAGTCCCCGTCCTCTGGACATATTCCAGCTTGTCAACATATCTCTTCAATTGCAGTGCCTAGAATGGGACACAGAATTCTAGGTGTGGTCTGACCAAGCCGGAATAGAGGGGTAGCATGAGTTCCCTGGATCTAGACACTATACTCCTATTTATGCAGGCCAATATCCCATTGGCCTTTTAAACTGCTGCAGCACATTGTTGGCTCATGTTTAACTTGTTGTCCACAAGGACTCTAAGATCTTTTTCACACATACTGCTGTCGAGCCAGTCATTAATATGTGTAGCATTTTGTTGTTATTCTGCAGAGGGTTTGTGTAGTGCTAGTGCAAATTATCTCCATATATAGAGCCTTACATTATGCTGAGGGGATGTTGGGTTGCAACCACACTCTCTTGGGATTTAATAAGGCTATAGAATTGTTAACAGAAATTATTCAATTATTTCAGGAAGAATTTTCAACCAATATCATTTGGTGGTATTAGTTCCTCACAATGTGTCTGACTTTTTCCATTGTTTGAGACCTCTTTCTTTGTTTGTGTGATAGAAAGGAGCTATTATCATGACTATCCCTAGTACCACACACACACACACACACACACTGCCTGTTGTGAACAGCCATGGCATCCATAGCCCATGGTGACAACCAATCCCAAACCTCCACAATTAAAACATGAAGAAGAATATTCACTATATGGTTTACTCATAACTTTTCCTGTAAGCTAAATGTTCTGTTTCTCAATTATGAGATGAAGAAAGAAATGGGTCAGCCAAACCATGTCTAGGATTCTGTGAATAATATTTGGAAGAGACAGCAAAGTCCTTATTTCAAATAAACAAAATATTCTCTTTTCCTCACCTGAACGATTTAATTTTTAAAATGTTTATAACATAGTTTTTGGCTGTGCTTTTTGCACTTTAACTATTGTTATTCATTTTGTTGTTTCTGTTTGCTTTCAAGGTGACCATATCACAGAGTTTTCTTAGAAAATACACTCAGAGGAACTTTCCCTTTGTTTTCCTGAAGCTGAGAGTGTGTGACTTGCTCACGACCATGCAGTGGGGTCTCCAGAGTCATACTACTAGGTTCATTACACCATACTGGGTCTCATTAATTAAATGAATAGAAATTTTAGTATTTCATGTTTTATGGGCTATTTTTGGTTATTTTAATACATTGTTACCCAAATTGCATATAAATTAACCACAATTTCCTATTCAATGAGGTCAATCAACATTCTTGGCATTCTACCAATGCTCTAGTTCTATGTTTGCTTAAAGTTTCACAGCATATTAAGGAAGGACGTTTCAAACATCATCAGCATAATTAGCCTAGGAGAATTGTGCTTTCCCAAACTCTTACAGGGAAAACATTGCCTTGTGTGCTCTCTCTCTCTCTAAGGAACATTGGATGGAAACCATGGCTCTCCAAGGCTCTCCTATGTCTACTTAATACTCACAGGATTATGCAATAAATATTAATAGTGATTTTGGATTGGACTCTGGCATTCAAGATCATTTCTCCATTTTATGTTGCAGTCCTAGATATATTTACCTGGTTGAAATTGCCATTTGACCCAATAGGCACTACTTTAAAACAGGCATCCTCAAACAGCAGCCCTCCAGCTATTTGGGCCTTCAGCTCCCAGAATTTCTGACAATTGAACATGCTCATTAGGTCTTCTGGGAGTTGGAGGCCCAAACAGCTGGAGGGCCACAGTTTGAGGATGCCTACTTTAAAAATTGTCCTCTTTATCTTGCTCATACTATCAGTTGTCTAAGGATATGAAGTCAGGGAACTTTCATATCAACTGTTTTTAAGCTACTCTGGGAACCTTTTAGTCGAAGGTTGTGGTATAATTATTTTGAAGACCCGCCATGGAAACCAAAATTGTGGATGCTCAAGTCCCACTATAACCAATGGCGCAATGAAATGGTGTGACTTATATAAAGCGGCAAAATTAATTTTTTCTTTTTGGATTTTTGGAGAGTTTTTTCAAGCCATGTATAACTGAATCCACAGATGCAGCATCTGTGGATCTGGAGGGCCAACTGCATAAATAAATGTATCATTACCCATTGCTGATTGTTATTTATTCATTTTGGAAGAACCCCGATCGTTCTTGAATGAATGAAAGTCATACACCTCCACCATCAATATCAAGTAGCAATTTTTTCATAGGGAACAAAATGTGTGATACAGATAATGTATTTTTTTATTTCACATTACAAACCTTAATTTATTTGTTCCAGCTTTGTACCTCGAGATTCGAGCCATCGACAGAGGAACGGATAAGGTGTCCAGCCAGCGCTTCTCATATTTTGGTTCATTAGCTATAGGTGAAGAAGGTGATGATGGAGCCTGTACAATAATAAATGAGAATCAGTAAGCAGAGTTTATTGGATCCTACAATGAAAAAAAAAAACCTCTAATGAATATTTATGTGAGGATGAGCTCTTTTTCTAAAACTAATAAGGCAGGAGCAATACTATTGTATTGGAAAATCAGAGCACAGAAAAGAAATAAAATAGTAATTTATTTCAAAATAGAACTTTTGTTGACTGTTTGAGCTCATTTCCCCTCATTATGTGTGCAACAGTAGAATAGTTTTTATTTCAGAGAAAAGCAAAGTCTCACATCTAGTTCACAATATAAATAATGCTAACTTGCTTGCCATGTTTTCGCAGAAGTCTTATTCATTTCATTAACATAACAATGCAAGAGGACAGTTCTGAGCACGAAACACTTATTTGTTGCTCTCACAGTGTTTGAAACACATTAAACTTAAAATGTACATACCATAACTTGATTTAAAGGACTATTAATGCATAGTCTTTCACACAGAAAGCAATATCTTTGCAAGACATTATTCAGATTGATAACTTTCAGAACATGCATCCTCTGTAACAGGGTGGGTGGGTATCAAGTACCCTTCAAATATTTTGAGACTTGACTTCCCAATATTCCTTATCACCAGCTATGTTGGCAATGGCAGACAGGAGCAATAAGCAATAGGCCTGTGCAATCAATGAAAAAAAAACATTATTCAATGAGGGGGGCACAGAGAATAGTTTCTGAAGTGTTTCTAAAATATTGTTAGGGGTCTGTATTGTAACTATAAGAATATAACAAATTCTTCATTACTTTTTGTAATTGTGCAAGCAGGGTAGTCCAACCCCCATTTATTCTGCCATGTTGCATGATGTGCATTGAGCACTCTGCTGGCTCTGCTATATAGTAATGTAACAGCAGCTTTATACTGAATATGGATATTACACGTCTGCACAAGTCATATTGTTGCATACTCCACTTACAAAAAATTAAATACCTACAAGGACTTAAGCCATGATCTGCTACAGCATTAGATATTAGTATAGGGCTATATCAGTCCATTTAGGGAGCTGTGATATGCATACAGGATTCTGATCATTATTATTTTCAACCATTTTCTCCCTTGTCCTGATACTCAAAGTAGCTTAGAAAAACAAAAGCAGAAGAGAGAGCCAGCATGGTGTTGTGGCCTGAGGGTTGGACTGGGACTATGGGAAAGCAGGGTTCAGATCTGTGTTCAGTAATGACAACCTATTGTGAGACCTTGACTAAGTCACACTCTTAGCCTCAAAGAAAGGCTAAGGAAAACCCCTCTTTGAAAAACGGTTGCCAAGAAAGCCATGTGATAAGATTGCCATAAGTCAGTAACTACCTGAAGACAAACAACAAGAAACAAACAAACATTATTTGTTCTACAAGGACATTCTCAGTCAGCATCTGCTTATTCATCAATCCAGTACAAATTAAACTCATCCAGTTCTGTACTCAAACACTGACATAATTTAGTACAAAAATATTTTCTCCATGAGAAACAATGCCAATGTTGGTATTTTATTTGCAATACTTGTTTTGAATCTCACAGAAATGCTCACTAAAAAAGAGAAACACCTAGTTTCTTCTGCTCAATCTATCGAAAGCTTGTTTCGGTTAGGGTCCCAGTTCCTTAATCACCACCACCCCTCACAAGTGATGGCATTACTTGCTTATAGCTGAGGGTAATTTAAGAAGTTTCAGTCCTGTCTCTGAGGCCCAAATCTCTAACCACAGCAAAAGCATTACTATGTTTGCCAACTTTTGTGATGTGATTTTATATGCTTTTATGGCTTTAACCTGTATTATTTAATACTGTTTTAGTATTTCAATATTTGTATATTTTAAGTTGTATTGAAATGCTTTTAACTGTGAGCTGCTTTCAGTCTCCGGATGGCAAGAAAATACGGGATATAAATAAACATTAACAACAACAACAATAACAACAACAACAACAACTAAGGACAAAGCAAAAGAGAACATGTTTTCAAAAATCCTGTCATATCTGAAAAAATACATGACATATAGCAAAAAATGAGAATGGTAGATTGTGATAACAGAAAATGTAGATTTTTGACATTCTACTTTTAGCATGTTCCATTGGAAATGTTGCATAGAGTTAAAAGAGGAACATTTCATGTCACATTCATCAGCTATTTTCTATAGGCAATTTTTGTGATGATACAAAACTTGGTAACCATTACTATGGTTAGGAAATACATAATAAATTCAAATATCTCAGAGCAAACTTTTCCACTTTTCATATAAAGTGTTAGTACATTGCTCTTTCCTTTGCCACATGAGAGAAAATGAGACATAACATGAAAAAATATCATGTCTTTTTTAAAAGAATGTATTGCAGGAAACAGAACAGAATTTAAAGTTGCAGAATTCAGTCTTGGCTCAGGAAGTGCAGCAGAGGCATGACTGACTCGATTTTGTAAGGCCATCAGCTTGTTCATTGTAAACTCTTCCCTGAGCAACAAAAGATGTGACTATATAAACACATGGCCAGCACAGAAACCAGATAGATTATATAAAAAAGTAGAATATGGACATGCTTCACTCTCTGCAATAACAAAACCAGGAGCAGATTTTGGCACAGATTACGAACAGCTAATAAAAAAATTAGAGTACAGCTAATGAAGAACACTAAATCAACCATCCGGTCAAAATACATGAAAAATATCCATGTAGAATTTAAAGAAAATGTAAAAAAGATTGATTTTCACTATTAAGCCTAATTAATTGGAAGGCACATCAATCTGGACTGAAACCAGGAACATTATGGGGGAGGCATGCAAAAAGACACTATCTGCTGCCAAAAAGAAGAGAACTATCAATGGATGGCAGATGAGATCAAGCAGTTAAAGACAGACAGAAAACCTGAATGCAACTGTTCAGCAACTTGTGCACAAAGACGAGAACTACTATAATAATCACTGCAAAGAAACAAAGGTGGCAGCAGAAAAGGAAGAACAAGATGTCTCTTCAATAAGATGCACAAAATCACAGGGAAATGTAAATCAAGAGTAGGGATTCCCTATGACCACCAGGGAAACATATTACATGACCAACAGAAATAAAAAAGTGAAGGAAACAACACACTGAAGAACTATATAAAAGAGATGAAAGGATAAAATATTCAAGGAAGAACCATTTAAAGGTGAAATTACAATTATAGAAAGTGAAGTGGAGGCTGTACTTGGGAGAAATAAATCATGAGAAACAGAAAGCAAAGCAACTGAGTTGTTTCAGTTTGTAGAAATAACATATTCTCTTATTATTATTATTATTATTATTAGTAGTAGTAGTAGTAGTAGTAGTGGTAGTTTTATAACTTACTTTTTCTTTCCCGAAGAAAACTCAAAGTGGCTAACGCTAAAAATGACAACAATGTGTAAATTGAAACCTAAAGCATATAAACATTAAAATAGACTATTAAAATAAATATATTTAAAACCAATAAAACTACTTTAAACAGATTAAACTACATAAACCACAGTATCCCCTAGCTTGATCTTAAAAACTTTCTTCTTTAAAAGCCTGTTGGCAAATATGAAAAACAAAACAATGGCCTATAAACAGAAAATATTTAATATACTTTCTAATCTCTAAAAAAGGGGCTACCAGGGACTGCAGTAACCACGGGAACATTGCATTATTTTTCCATGCAAGTAAGTGATATTCAGAAGGTGTCACTATTTTTAGAATTCTAGATAGGAAATACTCAACCTCTGCCACATATTTTTGTTGTTGGTTCAAAGCACTATTTACTAGAATTTCTTCAGTTTCTAAATAGTCTTATTAGGCTCTTAACACATTTCAATCCAATCTTGGTTTGAATCCAGCTATACTTTTCCCAGAATGTCGTTTAGAAGATAGAAGAACTCTTCAAAACAACATGGAAGACAAATTGGAAAACACATGTGGTGAAGGGGAAATTCCTCTCCCTTTCATATGCAGAGGAATATGTTTAATCAGGAAAAGCACATGCATGCACGCACACACACACGGCATGGCACAAGAAGATTCAGCATTTTTATTTAATATTTTCATACATTTTTCACAATACTTGATCTTGTTGCTGTGTGTTATCTTCCTTTCAAAATGTCAGTTAGGAAAGTCAACTTGTTATTACACACATATTCTATAATGTATTGTATATATTATAAAGCATTCCTGAAATGTTTAACAATGATTTTACCAGTTTCTGTAATTATAAATTTTATGGTAGCTTTAAATATGATGTGACACTAAAGTATGAATTATTCAAGACTTTGTGTCTTGTCCGTTGTTGTCAGTTGCTGTCAAGTCAGCTTTGACGTATGGTAACCCAATGAATGAGATACCTCCTAAGACACCTTGTTATTAACAGCCCCATAAGATTGTGAATGGTTTACACATTTCTCTACAGTAGATACATGTGATCTTTAAATTTTTGAAATCTTTTTGCATTGTGGTGAAGTGAAGCATGCTTGACTCATTCTGGCAAGAAATATATGTCTTGGAACAAAAACCCCTTAATAACCAATTGAGTTCTAAAAGGAAAACTGAAGTTTTCCATGACATTTCTCCCTTACCAAACTGGATAAAGAGTAAGCCTTACAAATATGGTTTCAATGAGAGCTACCAAATTATAATACCTGATTATTCAACCATGTCAAAAAAAAAAAAAAAGGATCCACTCAGTAGGGCTTGCTAATAGTTGCCTACTGCTGATGGACTCAGAGGTACGGCCATTTTGATATACGTGTCACACACATTTACTCTTTAAGCCTTTCTGTGTTTCAGAAGACTGGTTTGGGATTAGCCAAGGCAAAAAATGTGTCACTTATGCTTACAAAGGGGTCTTGTTCTTGTATCACCTTAGAGACTAACAGAGAGAATGAAGTCAATAGCATAAGCTTCTGTAAACTAAATCTACTTCCTCAAATGCATCTGAATTAGTCAATTCAGAGCCCTGGTTGAAAATAAAAACTCTATTTATGATGCCCATC